ATGTGTTCGAGTCATCTTTAGATTACTTACATTAATCATTTTAAATAGAAACCAATTTTCTTTGTGGCTAAAGATAAGAGGGAAAGAAGAAACTTTCCTGTCAAGTTTGAAGCAGAAGAGCCGCCTTTATATTAGTATATATGCATCAAACTTTCAATGGTGTATGACTGTTACTAGTAAACTGGTTATTATTGTTAATAAACTCTCAAAATTTTTGATTTATTTGTTTCATTTTTTCCAAGAAAGGAGGATGAATTCTTTTAAGTTTGTCTTTACATTTTATCTATGAGCTAGCATATACCTGCATTTTGCTAGTGGAGAAACTGAGGCAAAGTAGTTTAGGAATTGACCCCAAATCATATTAGTTGGAGTTTTCCAGGTGTGTTAGTAGACACAAAGTCCCTTGGTGCTACAGTTCAGGGTTATTATTCTGGCCTAGATTAGGAGCACATAGGATAGGTTTACCTGCATGGCAAGGCCGGTACTGTAGATGTTCCCAATGATGCCATCATCTTTGATCCTCAAGCTGATATTATCCACAAGAACCTTCAGTGCCTCACCAAACAGGTCTCTGTAATTTTCCTGAGAACCTACAGGAATCCTGTTGTACATGCAAGTCAGGGCCAAGGTTGCTACTGCTCCTGTGTCTGGAAGACAGAGGGGAGACAGATCCCCACCACAATCACCACCACAGCCAATGTTCATCATCAGGTGCTTATTGTGATCTAGTGACAGGACCTCCTTTAGTTCTTGGGATCACTAGTGAAACAGGACCTATGAGAATCTTTGTTCAATGTTTTTCATCCACCCCCACCTGCATAGCTCCCAGCTCTACCTCCATGGAAGGTTTTTCTCCTTTGCTTCCCCCTCCATCACTACCTCTTGTCTACTGTGACTCTGATACTCTCACCTTGGTCAGTGTCTGATGGCATCAACTTACCCACATTGAAGGGAGAAGACTCCCTCATCAGGGTCTTAGCAAAGCGCACTGCGATGGGTAAGGTTGCCTCTGAGTTCTTCTGGCACAGTGCGAGGATCGCCAGACTGGGCCCATAGAAGGCTGAGGCTTCAGCACCTGGGCCTCAGAAGACAACAGAGAACCATCCTTAGATTAACACTCACCACACTGGAGATGTTTTGAGTAGCATAGACTGGAGCTTTTAAGTAGAAATCACTAGAAAACCTGTCACCACCAAAAGAGACAATATTGGCAAAGGATGACGTCAGTGTTTCTCAGAGTAAGAATGTCATCTGGCATCTGAAGAGAAGAGGGATGGTGCTGACCCTGGGGAGGATGGTGGCTGCCCAGTCCATGCCTGGGTAGTTGGCTTCTCTAGCTCATGTTGCCTGAGAACTGAGTGTCTCACTGGTGGCATTGTCAGAGCAGAGGCGGCCTTGTGTCTCTTTCCTGATATTTGCTCTTCTTACTTCTATAACTTTCCTTTCCAGGTTAAAAATTGTCAGTAGGACGATGCCCTCCGCTCTTCCCTCCCTCCCCATGAGGTCTTACTTGGAGGTACCCAGTTCTCCATTTCATTTTGCAGAATAGATACTTTATTTCCAGGGTCTCGGCATGAGGAGTTGAGAGCCATAGTGGTGAGCGCTAGTTGCCCACTTGTTAGGTCTATGGAAAAGAGAAAAGAATTATGATGGCAGGCATTACAGGGCAAAGTGTTACCAAGGGCTAGACTGAGGACTTGTTTTTTTAAGTTTAAACTACGTATTTATTATTATTATTATTATTATTATTATTATTATTATTATTATGTGTGTGTGTGTGTGTGTGTGTGTGTGTGTGTGTGTCTGTGTGTCTGTGCTAGTCACAACACAGATGTGGAGGTCAAAAGACATCTTTGTGGAGTCAGTTATTCCTTCTAATGTTATATTGATTCTGGGGATCAAGCTCAGATGGGGAAGCCTGTGTAACAAGCACCTTTACCCATGGAGCCCCCTGACTAACCCATCTCTCATCTGCTGCTCACTACCTCTCTTTAATGTTTGAGACACTCTGTATCCCTGGCTGGCCCAGAACTCACTCCTGCTGAGTGCTGGGCTTACAGGTGTATGTCACCATGCACAGCGTCTCCCAGCCTTATATATTCAGAGCCTCATATCTAGGATTTGGATTTTTCAGTAGTGCACTATTATTTTAAAATCTCTTTTTTTCTAAAGAAAGAAATGTGGAAATAAGTCTTTGAAGAAACATTGAATGTAGTGTTGTCTATGTGAATCAATGACTGTACAATGAAACTAATTATTTCTTATGTTTAATATATGCTAAGAAAAGAATCTGTGCTGTCTGTTTAGAAAAGAAAGGAGAAAACCCACGAAAGTCAGTGGAGACTTAGAGGCAGAAAGTAAACTTGTCATGCATCTTGAAGCTCAAGGCAGTTCATGTGAAGTGAATTGAGCCTAGACTTTGTTGTTACTGCCACTGTTGTTACTGTTTGTGTCCTTAGAGAGCAAGGTGAGTAAGTGGCATCCAGTGACTTTTTCATAAGCAACAAATTTGGAAGCAGAAGTGTCTGCTTTCTTCCCTGAGTCTGGAGCTCCCTGTGCATCCCTCCCCTCTTCCCTGACTATTCCGATGTCACATATGTTTAGCTACAGATGTTCTTCTGCTGTGCAGGGAAAGGTGAGTGAATTGGGGTGGGCAATGACAGAGACCTGGGGTCCGGGGTAGCCTGTATGTGGAAGATTCAGGCTTCGGGGAGGGGCTCCAGTGTCTAACCTGCACTGTCAGTGGCCATGAGCCTGTCAGTCAGGAGCTTCTGGGCCTCCAGATTGTAGGCACCGGCCAGGTTCATGGCAATCAGGATGCTGGGATTTGTGAAGTCTGACTTCGTCACCGACTTCTCCATGAGCACTTGTAGGCCATTGACCCAGGGCTGCTGTTCTGGGGGCACAGCTGAGAAAAGGAAATCCACTTGTAACACCCCACAACTCATCCCTCATTCCCCCCAGCCCTCATCCCTTTCCCAGAAGTGTCGTTCCTGTGTCTTCTAGGCCTTTTAGCAGAAGGCTTGAGAGATTTGAGGAGACAGAAGAGAAATGCAGAAAATACCAGCATTTTTCTTTAGAGGCTCATTAGTCCTTACATCTTCTCCAACAATCTCTATCTTTAAAGTGATTTTTTTCATGTGTTAACTTTGAGCGGTACATCTCAGAAGTATTTAACATGATTTCTATTCATATCCTATTAGTCACTGTTTTCTTTGGCATTACTTCCCTCTACTCTTTCATGAAAAATATTGATGATTTTAGGCATAATCTGCTTATCAGATATTCATACCTCCCATGTAGTCTTAGTTACCACTAAGTATCTATCTTGTTCCAGCAGTCAACATTCCTACAATTATTAATTCACCATCTCTTGGGAAAAAAAACAAAAACCACGTGCATTGACTTGACTCTCCAAGAATTATTCTGTGAAGTCATGAAAGATGACTATGTCTCCATCCTTGACTTATGCCTACCTCTTCAGAACTCCTATAGTGATTGCTGTTCCACCCCTCTCTCAACAGTAGAACTGTGCCTGAGATCTCTGCCTCTCTGGAGGGAGACTGCTTCTTTGCCATTGGAATAATCACCATACTCACAGCAAGAGCTTTGGGTGCTGGTTCCTGCCACAGCCCAGAGAACATTTAGAAGGTAGAGGGTAAGCCAAGCCATGCCCCGCTTTCTTGTGCTGTCCACGTCTCCCTTTCCACCAACACCAGTATTTGCTAATGAGGTTAATGAGGTGTGCCTCTACCTTCTCTTGTTTCACTTATTTTTGTAGAACAATTTGCTCCAGACCCAGCCACTTTTAAATACCTATGCTGACCCCTCCTACCTTGATGTATCTCATTCCCATTTACCCATCTCAGTTTACTTACTGTATAGGCCCTCCATGTTGTGTAAAGGTGGCTTCTAAGCAACAAAATGATGTAAGAACCCAAGGATTGGGTAATGAAGCAAAAATAATGAGTATCTCTTGACAAATTCCTGAGTAAGTGGTTGAGGCACAACCGCTTTGGTTTCAACACTCCTCTACAATCCCTACCCTGAGTCAGGGTGGTCTCTGGCTCTGTGACAAGCACCAATGTGAACAGCAAAAGAGACCAAGGGTAAAGGCATTGTGCCCTTCATAACAGCTGAGAGGAAAACTATTTCAAGGAGATGGGGCTTTTATTTGTCTCTAGTTGTAATGACATCTACAATAGAAACAGTTGTTGGGCTGCTCTTCCACCTACCCGATCAAGGGGAACATCTGTCTAAAACTCCTGAGTGCCTTGAGATGACATTTTATCAGGGCTTTTCCTATTTTGCTGCTGGATGATGTAAACTTCAGTTGATTGATATTTTCTTTGATCCATCTGCTGTTTACGCTCAATGAAGGAAACAAGCATGCCTATATGAGAACATTTCCTAGACTTTACAATGCAGAAACTATTGTTGAGTGACCTGTTTTATGTGGTGTCTGCAGGGAAATATACAAAGCTGCATAATTTAATACTATACATACTGGAGATATTAATTTATTTCTATAGTGCTAGCCATGTAGTTTGGAGCTGACTTTCTTTTTAACTTAATTTACTATTTTGCTCTGTTTCATCATATGATGAAAGGAAATAAAACAGAAAGGAAACAGGACATAGGAAAAAAAGATATTGTTGAAAAGGTGTGAAAATGAAAATATTTTTAGCAAAAAAAAAATGAATGTAAATGTTAATATAGCTAGATGTTTTCCCAGCATCAGAAAGAAAGTGGAAGCCTTACCAAGTTATAAAGGTCTGAGTAAGTTATGAATGGAATGTGATAGGTGAGATATCAATATGTGATCTTATCTTTTTAAGGTAAAAGTTAAATACATTGAATTAAAATGAAATTCTCTCAAAGTATTGCTCATTCCTTGGTAAGTTTTACAAGTACTGCCTTAAAAGAACAAGATATTTGTCCAATCAGTATGTATTTAAATGTATTAGGCTTTATTTTTCAGCTCTCTCTAAATATTACCCAGTGTTTATTAATATCAGGCTTAGAGAGACGACTGAGCGATTAAGAGTGCTTATTCCTCTTACAGAGGACCCAGGGTCAGTATAGCACCTACATATGGCTCACGAACATCTGTGGTTCTTGTTCCAGCGGATCCAGTGGCCTCTTCTGACCACTCATGGTACCAGTCATGCGTGTGGTGCACATACATCTATTCGAGAAAACATTTATACATAAAAAATAAAAATATATTTTTTCATTTGTTCCTTTGTTTGAAAGTAGACTCTGTTCTCATACAATATATTTTGATGATAGTTTCCCCTCCTTCTATTTAACCCAGTTCTGCCCCCCTTCTGGATGCTACTGAGCACATTTCTGCTAGTTCCAGAATGGCTGAGAGAGCCTGAGGGGGAAAGGTGACTTTGGGGGAATGGCATTGTCCCAAGTGTTACATCCACACACAGCAAGCGTTACAGGCCCTTAACAAGGACATTCACTGAATTCCAGGGTCTAGGGAAGCTGGAGCCATTGATAAATTAGCCTCTGACTTCAAACTGTCAGGAAAACTTTCAGAAGGTTATTAAAGCTGACCATGAACTCAGAACTTTCAGAAATAAAGCAGTGCTGAGTTCACTTATAATTTTTACTATGGTAACTTATGATTTGTGTACTCTTATATCTTGTTGAAAGAAAACAAGTTAGTTCTGTTAAGAGATTTTTTTCTACATGTTTACTATAAAGTTTGCTTTTTAATGTAAGTTAGTTTTGTTAAGAGATCTCGTCTAGATATGTGCTAAAATAGTTCCATAGAGTTTCCTTTCGAAATAAGCATGTAAAAAGTGTAAATATTGAATGTAAAACATCTAAATGTAGAATGTAAGTAAGTTTGTAAAAAGTGTATCATGAAGTTCATACTAGAATTATATTTGTTACTCCATCAATATCTATCTAGTCCAGACGAATTGGCTAACATTAATTTTTAAAGGATAAACCAAATCAATCACATTAGAAGCATCTTGAAGTTTTTATTACTTTTTTATCTTTAGATATATTTGAATACTTTTTTGATAGCTTAAAATATAATTTTATAATTTTAGTAGCCCCTGGAAAACTTAAGTGAAGGTGTCATAATTAGGGCAGCCTTTCTGTCTTCTTCCTGGATGTTTCCACTCCTGTTTCTGTTTAGAAAGGGGTAGGCCTCCCACAAAGGTATAAGTCTCCTACAATCGAGTTAGTTTGTAAAAGTGTCTTTATAATTAGCATGGGTTTTTGTTTACTTGAGTGGATACTTTGAAGTGTTTTGAAATGACTGTTTTCTCCTGGGAATCAAAATAGTCTCTTGAAAATTTTATTGAACATCTGTTAGGAGAAAGTTTTGATCCAGGAAAAGGGCTTGGTGCAGCTAAGACTTCTGTAATCACCTTAGACCTATTCCAATAGGGATATTCCATCTTTATTATCCTCTACTCCTTTACTGAGAGGTGTGGCAGCTGTGGAGATCATTGTGGATGTTTGCAAGCTCTTAGTAGGGGCTTGGGCCAGAGGTGAATTAAGCTCTGTACTCCCTCTTGCCAGAGGTTGGTAGCCAAAAACAGGCAACGTTCTTCTTGATAACTTCCTGAATGTATGACTGTAAAATTAATCAAGAAAGATGATATAAGACAGGCACAGTCTATCTGAGGGGCCTGGGGGGCTCTCTTTTATATCAAGAAGTGGGGATTGTGGAGGCCCACAAAGGTTTCCTAGTGATATCTGAACTTGCTTTACCCAGCAGAGCTGCATTAGAGGATTGCTTGACAATGTGCATGGTTACTAGGTGATTGGAAAGGGTCTGCACTTGGCTGTCCTGTGGGAGGTCTCTTGCTCCATCTCTTGGCATTCCTATAAATAACCCTTTATAAGAGACAGAATGGACCAGTGGATTAGGATCCAGACCCTCCCAAGACTATCTTGTGTTTGTCTGTTTCTCTCCCCTCTATTCTATCTAAATCTCTTATCCCTCTCTCCTCAAGAGTACCCTGGGGTAAAATGTGGGAGCCGGTCTCTCAGCTGGTCTCCCACACCTATCCATTCCCCTTTTTCTTTTCTAAAGGAGAATACTGTTTGTAAATTTTATTATTCCACCCCAACTCTATAACCATCCATCCATAACCTTGAGAAAAATGAAACCTTCAATATGGGTGTGGTGTCCTTAGAACTGCTTCCTGCTGTTCAGGGGGCAATGGTGTCTCTGTGGAGTCCTGTAAGAAAGCTTAGATAGTTAGGTCTCAAAAGGACTAGCTATAGAGTCTGCAGCCAGTCTCAGAGTAATGGATAAGATTGTCTGAGATTCTGGCTAAAAGTGTAGTATGATGGACCATCTCATCTTGGAATTGTCCTAAAAAATTATCAGTCTAAGGTTGATCATTGAGTAATGTTCTTAGGTACAAGGGCATGTTTCTGGACTGAGCAGAATCATTTTGTGGGGCCCCATCTTCCTTGTGGAGACTTCAGAGAAGTCTGAAGTAGTGAGTGTGTTGCTTAATCCAGAAGATTGCTTTGAACTCCCCAAATCACTGGGGCTTTCCCTCTCCCTTATCAGAGTTGTAAACGGCAAGCGACAGTCTGTTATGAGAAGACAGAAGTTTTATTTCATGAGTAACAATGGTGAGTACTCCAGGAAGTTTGCATTGTGCACTGTTTATTCCCCAGAGTGGCTCTGTGTTTTTTTTTTAAATCAGGAATAGAGTGGCATTGTTAACATCCACTTTTCTTGGCATAGATTTGAAATGAAATGAAAAAAAAAAAACCATCCTTTGGTCACATGCAGCAGAAGATCCTCCTCAGTACTGGGTGAAGTTGGCTGTGATGTGCTCATAGTTGGAGGGAACATAGTAAGCAACCCCTGGAAAGAGGCAAAGGATAACAAATGTCCATGGTGCATGTAAACTTCCCATTCCAAAACATCAGCCCATTAAGCTTATTATTTACCATGGGGAGAAGTGGACAGAAATATGAATTTGGGATGTTTAAGGATTTCTTTTAAAATATTTTTATTATTGTTACTTGTTTGTGTGTATGTGTGTAGGTGCATGCTGTGAAGGTCAGAGTTGATTCTCTCTTTCCATCATGTGGGTCTCAGGAATCCAACTCAGGTCACCAAGTGTGGTGTCAAATGTCTTTAGCAGCTCTTGCTAGCCCTGTTTAGGGATTTCTTTCTTTCTTTTAAAAAGATTTATTAGGTGTGTGTGTGTGTGTGTGTGTGTGTGTGTGTGTGTGTGTGTGTGTGTGTGTG